GCTTATAAATAGTCATTATTGGGTGAATGAATTGGAAGTACAGCGACCAGATGGTTCCTGTTGTAACAGATTGATCACATAAAGCTCAGGCCAAACATACTCGCAAGTAGACGAAACTTGAAAACTTCCATGGGTCTACTTGCGACTATACGTACTTGCTAGTCTGTTTGGCCAGGGCTTAAGACTACATCACGGATGACAAATGAATGAAAGACAGGCAATATCAGAACGTATAAATACAACATAAATAAATTAAATAGCCCGTGCATGGAAAGGACCAAGAATTACTGAGTGACCTTCAATAACATTTGGTAACGAATGAGAAACCTATTAATACGAGTTGAATTGCATCACCCGTAATAACTATTTATCTTACTGTGTCTTGATTTGACTTAAAATTCAAACACTGATAAGTCTTATTTCCCGCGTGCTCTGTCTCCCGATATTGAACTTCAAGTATTTTATTTCAGGTTTTATCACGCCTAAAGAGTTTGAGAACATGAACACTCGCGGTGCTGATACAATGATGATGCACGCGGGAAAAACGCATCCAAAGTACAGACCTCGCTACAGTTATCAGACCTTTGTGAACCAGAGATACCTCAAGGATCCGATCTTGGACAAAATTATAGAAAGGTAAATATTAAAACCAAAGTAGCCATCGTATATTACCTTTTCTGACTAATGATGTTTGTTTTCAAGTGGACCTTCTTCATCTTACAGTATTTTGCCAATACGTCCGGATCGAATACGAACGAAAGATGGCAACAGTTTAGCCCTCCATTTTCAGCGTTTTACAAACAACTCTCAGAAACGTATGCACAGTCTCATCCGTAAATCTGAGCCTGGTTAAATTTTCACAGGAAGGCGATGAGATTTTTACTTTCAGTTAGGGGCAAATGATGCTATACTTCAGTAAAATTGAAGAGATTATCGTCCAAGAGACCATATAGTTTGGTTTAACTTTACCTCTCTGAATTTCATACTTTTAGAGTAATCAAATTAACAAAGTTGCCAAGAGAAATAATATATGGAAGCGAAAGACTTCAGGTAAGAATGCAGCAATGCACCAATTCTTCAATGCATCCATGCTGTGTCGTCCTTCATAATGGGTAGTAAACCAGAACTGATTCAGTTTTCAGTGGATAATTATCTCTTCATCACGGCGCGCGGTCCATAACGAGCTGTTTTATATCTTAAGAAGTTCGTGTTTTGGGTTAGCCTGGAGTAAGATACTGAGCATGTCCACGTGCCTGCTGCTGAGACATCAACTGCGCACCCAGTCTTGGTTCCCCTTGCAAGCGACCGGGAAACTAGCGACCCTGGAACTCCGAAAATATCGGACTTCCGGTAAAATTGCGCATGTTTTGACAATATAAACACAAAGAGATTACCTTTTAAACTTTAGGGGAGAAACATTTAGCCATAATGTAGCTTGCAAGGGCCTTGTCTTCAAACGGGACGTACACTGAAAAAAAAAATTTAACTTTAATTTCACCAGTGCAGTCCCCCACCCCTCCCTTCCCCCCTCCCTTCCCCCCTCCCACCCCCCCAAAAAAATCAACCATCCGCGGTCCTTATATTATGAGTACTATAGATTTTACGGGTTTCTTACATCCTTGCTCATATAATTGAAGTCTCCCGTAGTTTTACTTACGAATTACGATTATGAATACAAGGTCTTTGGCCATTTCTCAGTCTGGGAGTGCACAATTTATTAAACGGCCAATGTCTCTTGAGGAGATCGCGAATTTCGCCTGGTTTCCTGGCCAGTCCAAATTTTACAATACGGTTCGTTATGACATCTCATTTCATATCTCCATAGGTTGTTTATTATGATCAAGTTGGTCATTATCATGCTCATTTCGATTCGGAAACTCACGAGAAGACCGAGATCCCTTGCTGTCATCAACAAGTTGAAGAGAAGATGCTGAGCTTTGAACATCCCTGTAGGCTTTGCAGGTTAGAACACACTTGCCAGGTAAAATACCTAGTACAATGCCGCTCAAAGTTTTAATTCTGTCAGTTAAGTGTCTTGCCCAAGAGCACAACACAATGTCTCCGGCCAGGACCGCTAGATCCGGAGCTGAAGCGAGCGCACTGAACACGGGGCCACCGCGCCTCAACTAACGCAACCGGCATGAATGTTAATTATTTGTCCTTGTAATCCTTAGGTATATCACCATTTTGTATTATCTTAATGATGTCGATGCTGGAGGTGAAACAGCTTTTCCTGTTGCAGACAACGAAACCTTAAACATGGAGGTGAGTTAGTCTTTTTAAATTGCTGCTTCGCTCTCTTCTTGATAGGAAAGGCACAAAGGCAACTGTTTTATTCAAAGGAGATATTTTAAAAGAATCGATTCAAGCTAGCCACTAACACTGACCTGGCATCCCGGGACTGGCATACAGTGTCTTCTCCTACAAACTACGATACAGTTGTAATAATTCTAGCTTGCAATTGTTGTTACTTCAGTTATATACATAAGGGACTATGGGTTGATCTGATGAAGACTTTCTTTTCTCCTCTAAACTTCTCTAAAACTTAGTGTATTATTCACACTTGGCCATAAATCTATGAAGTTTGCCTCACTTATTATTCCTAACTAAAACAAGTCGAACTTCCAATACTACTTTAACTTGGGGTTACCATGGTAACGCATTTTGATTTTATCAAACAGTACTTAAAAGACAGCCGAGGCAAGCTGGACTATTTCAACCTCAGCCACAACTGCCATGTGGGAAATCTATTGATCAAACCTCGCAAGGGAACGGCAGTCATGTGGTATAACCATTTTATGGATGAGGACAGCGGTTGGCTCGGCAAAATGGATGAGTATAGTTTACACGGAGGATGTGACATACTGAAAGGAGAAAAATGGATTGCGAATAACTGGATCACAGCACCATACAAGGATGGAGCACATGTCCCGAGCTCGTGGCTCAATTTTTATTAGCTAAAGCCTTACAATGTCGTCTCTAGAACTAAACGGAAGTCTTCGCGAGTAAAACAAAAAAAAATAAATGAATAAGTCTCAGATCAGAATATAAGTTTGTCCCTGGGCGTCCGACGCTCTGTGCCTACTGGAAAACTATTTTCCTTTATGTTTCTCTGCTTTTATACTTGTTTAAGAAAATACCTTTTTATGAAAATTTAGATAACTCTAACAGTCATAACTTGATCCATGAACACAAGCAATGTGATCGCATGAAACGTACCTTTTAAAGACGGCTCTGCTGACTGGATTTTATTTCCAACCTAGTAGATTATATAAATTGAAATAAAATACGAAGAAAAACCCGTTAGCAGTGTTGAGCTTGCATTGTTTTTTTCGCGATTTCTACTGGTCTTGCACTTAGAATACAGCTACCATGCCCAGTGAGGACACTGTAAGTAAGCAAACAAGCATTCAAAATGATCGAGCGCCTCATTGCAGCGATAACCCGCGTAGATAACGGTTTGTTTCTCGTTTGAGAACCGTGACGGGCTGCCATTCAAAAAAAGGTTAGGCTAAAATGATAACTTGACCTCGAGCCAGTCAGGAAAAAAAACATAAAATAATACATAGTTAGTGAGGAGGAGGGTCCCCGAAACCACGGAATTATATGCATGTCGATGTATCAATAGTTTGAATACTACCGCAAAGCTCAGTCGGTAGTCTCGTCTCCTAGACCAGTCAAACTGAAACCGCCGATTTCAAGCCGTGGCGATCAGCCAGCGGAATGCCACGAGCCTTAATAGAGTGGCTTTAACTTGAGTGTCGTAAAACCAATACTAAATAAATCAACACTATTAATAAAATCAATACTAAAGTAGCCAATCACAAAGGACACATACAAACCAGTGAACCAATCAAAACTCGAAGCAAATACGTGAGGCTGACGCAAAGCGCGGGAAAACGTGCGCGAGTGAGTCAAGATTGGTTTTGGTTTTACTTCTGATTGGTTTGAGAAAGTGGCGTGATTTTTTTTAACAATCACAGAGGGTAGAAATGTAAAATCAACGCAAATGTGATTTGCTTTCGACTCTCAAATGAAAATCGCTTTAGGAACAGATCGCACTAGAACAGCGTGACTAAAGCATTCAATACTCCGGGTATTCTAGGTAGCTCGCGCTATAATCTTTGGACAATTTGAACGAGGTCAAATTGAATTGTTTTTCTGGTGCCATCGAACTATTTTCTGGTACCATTCGCTTTTTTCTTTGTTCCAATAATTTCTTGCAGTGTGGAAAATAAATCCCACCTGTTTTCCATTTTTCAGTGAAATTATTTTATATGTAACTTTATTTAGATTTGCTATAAACTCATACGTGTAATTGTGTAAAAGCAACATGAATTGTTGTAAACTGAAAAGATGAAATATTTTCCAGAGCTCTAAAACCGGATAAACTAATGCAAAAAGTGTATCGTGGAATATGTGTACCATAAAACACGATTAATTAATATTTATTACATAAGTCTGCGGTTGACTGGTGCTATAAAATAACAACGCCAAAATGGAAAATAAAATAGAACCAATTGTTTAGTCTTATAAGCGGTAAATAATGACTGCGTTTAGTCTATGGGTGCTCCACATTTCAGGCCTTCTTTTCGCTTTGTCTGCTGAATGCGAAAAACAGAGTTATAACGTGTGTAGGTTTGTACGGGACGGTGAAAGTTGCGACTACAAGAAGTTCGATTCGCATGGAGATGAACCCTGTGTTATCGGTAGAAAGGCTGGATTGACGAGAATCAATGGTGTCAAGGTAGGAACATAATCATAATATTTTTTACTTTGAACTGAACTGAATCGCAAATACTGATAATTATAACTGACTATTTTGTCGGATCTGTTAATCTATGGTTTGGATCTGCTATATATAATAAACCAGAGAAATCAAAATACAGTTGCCAAATTGCGTGAATTGACCATGAAGATACATGTAGCTACACGTTTATTGAGTCGCCTAGGCCTGAAACTAAATCTTGGTGTTGTGACCAAGACCTCGCGACCGTGAATGTGCAGCGGCGTGAAATAAGCACAAACACTAACTTGTTAATTTGCTCTAATCCTTCGGGGTACAGGTACTTGTGGTTTGTGAGTTTAGGTTAATGTCCGACAACATCACTGTTCACAGTCAGGCAATAACAGTATCTAGAAAAGCGACTACTGGAATTATTTCCTGAGAGAACAAAGCGTAAACTGGCCGCGGATTGAAATCCACAACTCACGAGAACTACTGAACTGGCAAATCCATAAGTGAGTTAAAAAGGTAGTATACTGGGCGGGGTAGGTTATACAGTTAATATACCCATAATTTATTTTTCGCCGCAGGACATATCCGATAAAAAATTTGTCATTAAAACGGCAAAACTTATGCTTCGAACTACGCTATGTTATAGGTTGGTCACGTCGAAGAAGTAGATCTCGGAGATGGAATCAAAAAGCGCATAACAAGAGCAATGCGGCCTCTTTTGTTTGGTAAGTCTGTAGCAAAACATCAGAGTACTCTTGATCTTGATTTGCCTTTCAGCTGCTCAATTCGCTTTCCTGGGAGACAAACATATCAAAAACAACGAATGAATTTTCCAAAGAAAGTTTTCTCCTAAGGACAATTCTTGGACCCTCGTCCTAAGTCCTCTCAGCTCTCTCTAGGACTTTCCCGGAATCTCAAGCTCCCTGTTCTCAAATCCAAGATGGCGGTATATGTGCGGCCGCCGTTAACGTCGAGGTTGTAGTTTTAAGTATTTTTTTATTTATTTGTTTGTTTGTTCGTTTGTTTATTTATTTATTTATTTATTTATTATTGCAGAAATTCCAAATTTTCTGTCAGACCAGGAGTGTGATCACATTATTCGCCTGGCGGAAAGCAAACACTTCATTACCAGTGTGGCTCGTGGAGGACTTCAGTCCACGAGTGACTTTGAAATTCCTGACATTAGAAGTAAGAACCGATTTCTTTGCATTGTTGAACGTGGACAGTGAGGTGACCAAGATGACTTTAAATTTATAAACGTCTATAACATGTAGACTTGCTGAGAACTAAGAATGGCAGTATGTTACACTATCCACAGTGATTCATGCAAGGAATGTAGGAGTCTCCAAGGCGATGTAAACTGAACTTAGTAGACCTGAGTGGTGTTTTATTCATTTTTTTTTTCGCTTTTTTAGAAAAGCAGTCAAATATTATGGTTGTTTTCAATTGAGGGTCGAAAGAAAAATTCGCTTTGCCTTTGGTTTTGCATGTGACACTAATATTTGTGGCGAACAGTGAGGAGAAACTTTAAAATCTTATGTTGACTTTGACATATTAACGTTGATTTACACGATGCTTTAAATTTCAGATGGACCAATGCATGTGGACTATTTTCATGCTTGGGATCTCGACAAGGATGGAAAATTAACCTTGGAAGAGGTATGATCGCTTCTTCAGTACTGGCTCCATTTAGATTTAGTGTATTTCCACTTTTGCCTTAGGTCAAAAATAGTAATCAACAAAGGCAAACGAAAATTAACACAGAGCGACAAGAGTTCGGGTGTAATAAAAAAGAAAAGCAAAATGAAACTAGCGCAATCTTTTAGAATGATTCTGATTTTGAACTTATGGAATTCAAAAAGAAAGTACCCCGTAGAATAAACCTGTGTAGCTGAGATTATTCCAGCTACATGTTAGCGCTCAGACCAATCAAATATAATCAGATGTATTTGGTCGCTTCTGTCTTTAAAAAAAAAAAAAAAAAAAAGACCGATTGGAAGATTCAACTTCATGACTTTCGCGTGTTTAATTAAAGTGCACTCATTTTTTTATAAGTTTCTTTTATAAGTGTGTCATCCTTTTCACTGGTTCCCATCATACTGTCAATGTTCTATCTATTACCTATTCACCTATTAATTCTGTGATCTCTTCACAGCTTATAGCGTATGCGAAAAAATACCAATATTTGATTCTAACAAGAGATGACACATTGGAAATGTAAGGTTGCATGCCTAAAAGAATGAGTCCACAATGCTTAATTATAGTACTGAATTTAAATGAATTTCATACTGGACGGTTTTAAAATTATATTAATCTTAGTTTCCTCTGGCTCTCTTTCTCGCCCTTAAACATTCGCTGATTTTTCACTCTTCCTCATTATTTCAGGCTACACAGTGTGAACGTGACGGAGCTAGACGATGGTACACGAAGTTTTCCGTAATTAAAGTCGTTTATAATAAAGATTCCTTTTACTGCAAATAGCGTAGTTAGTTTCACATCCGCCTGATTCCTTGCCTGACTAATTCTTTGCATACCGGCCTTAAAAACAAAGTTATGTCCCATGCATGTTACGTTTTTCTGGATTTCTAATGCCTGGTGCAGGGTTCCCGTTGTAAGGTAAACGGAGACGAGATCCGTAGCCGGGAAGACAGGTTTTGAATGGGTACCCTTCACTTCTCACTCATTTGGGGTGAGGCACTATATGTCGCACAAAATAGGAATAAATTGAGAAGGAGTAATGTTACCTTACGTCCCACAGGGGACAAAGAGAATTTAAAAGTAAGTAAGTAAGTGCCCCTCACTCCACTCTAACGTTCAAGGAGGTGCATGATCATTAGTCTACAGACTCCACTAATGAACATTATACTATTATACAGAAAACTGATTCTGAACTCGACAGCAACATACGTAATTCACATGCAGCATCATGTTGTTTGGCTAGGAATTTTAAAGCAAAGTGTCAGTTAACAACGACCATTGAGATCCTATTTGTGAAAAAATTACATTTCTTCTCAAGGGTATGCTACACTGGATGAATTCAAGAAGATGAACACGTTGGGATTAATGGACTTGCTCTCGGCGACGGCTTTGTCACATCCACTACACAGGCCACGATACAGTGATCAGACCTGGATTAACCAGAGAGCTTTGGCTGATCCAGTTTTAGATAAAGTTACAGAGAGGTATAAAGTTTTCAGATTACTGCCAGCCCCGACTCCCAAATGTGCATTTTCGAGCGAGGCCCGAAAAAGTGGCAGAGGCCACGAGATAAATGGCCAATTCGCTCTATGAGACGTGCCTGCAGGGAATCATGGTAGTTGTATTCGTCGAAAACAATATCCAGTTCTAGGTGATAGATACCAATACCACGATTCCCTGCGGGTGCATCTCACAGAGGGAATTGGCCACTGGAGAGAGGCACGCATTTTTAGGAGGGACGAGGAAGTGGGCCATTTATCCTGCTCCCCTGTGTTGCTTCTCGCCAGGAGCCCATGCTGTCCACCGTTCTTGTTTCCAGGGTGACAATCGTTCCTTAGGTTGCCTAGTCGGACTGTCATCTTCTATAACCATTCTCTTTATCTTTGATTTTCTTTAGGATTGTGGAACTTACTAGACTTCCTCGAGAAATTGTATACGGAAGTGAGAGAATTCAGGTAACAGACTAATTCACGGTACTACGAAAACTCGGCCTGCTATTGGACAAAAATACTGCGTATGACGAAATTCCACTTGAAGTCCACTATTTCGACGGAATATGTTTATATTACCTAAGTCACGTTGCTTTCTCATATGCATTTTCAATGTGTTAAATTTTACAGTGATTTTACTGCTATGCAAACTCAAACTTTAAATTGATAATTGATATCCTGGGGATTATGAAAATGGCAGTATAAAAGAATTTACATGTGTTTCACCTCATCACTCTACTCGAGGCCGCGAACGCGAAGAGGTTGTCGACTCACCCTCCCACCCAACGAGTAAGTCAGGTTTGAACAAACTGTCCGCTTTTATTTCTCCTGGTCTTGGGCTTGTCCAAGACCAGAGCGATTCCACATAACTTATTACCAATGTCATGAAAACAATACCCAGGGTAGAATATTGCACTATTTATCACTGTAAAACTCGCACTTTAATTTGTTCAGTGGTAACAGGTAATAAAACAACGAAAGCACAATTTGTCTGTCACCAGGTTGTCCGCTATGGGAAATATGGTCATTACCACGCCCACTTTGATTCTGAAACTGAGCAGAGAACGGACAAAAAGTGCTGCCATCTTCATGAAGATGTGGTCGGAGCTTTTCTGAAAGGCGAAAGTTGTAAGCTTTGTAGGTATGAGTCTTTTCAAGCGTCAAAATCTTCTCAAACGATGGCGATATCACATCAAGTGAACTACCGAAAAGAAATTCATTGAAAATACATGTGTTAGGTTCAGTTGATGCAGCTTGACTTTCACTTTGGAACAGTCCTGGTGGAAATCCAACAAGTCAATTAAGCAAATGGACAGTTGTTGACGCTATTTTCTAATTCTCTGACGGACACGTTAATTTATTGAAAGAAAGAATAATTCAATTTGTCCACCAAAAATTTACCTATTGACATTTTTCTTTGCGGGTGTTTTTGTTCATGAATGGCCAATTCCCGGCCCTGTATGAGACGGACCTGCAGGGAATCATGGTAGTTGTATTCATCAACTTGGACTGGATGTTTGTCTTGATGAATACAACTACCATGATTCCCTGCAGGCGAGTCTCATAGTGGGAATTAGCCATTAACAAAACTAGCCAAGTAATGCATGAGAGCGAATATAGAAACCCAAACTAAATAGTAATCGATTTACTCAACTTATTTTGTTATCTTTGCATGCTTGTTGTAAATTGTAAATTTTGTAAATTTTTTTCTCATCTTTTATCTCTTATGTATGGCGCAGTTCAATATTTTTATAGAAACTGCGCGATATAAATTTTAATTCTTATTAATATTTTTATTGTTCTATCAGATACGTCACTGTCCTTTATTACTTGAATGATGTGGAGGAAGGAGGAGAAACAGCATTCCCAATGGCTGACAATACAACTCGTAACATGGAGGTAAAATGCTAGTCAGGTAATTCGGAGATGCATGTGGAAGAGAATTGTTACTGTATCGTTTGCACTCGACGCGATCCCATCTGTGAGAATATGTGGCTGGTTTTGGTTTAGGACGATGACATCACATCCTGGTCTTGAGGTTACTTAACATCGAACAAGCAGAATCCGAGAAGTTTTGGTCACCTTTACAAGAGTCTTATAAGAATTTTGCAAAGAAGGATACGTGTTGTCGAGCTAGATTAACTCGTATCTTCTAAATCGACTGCTCTCAACAAGACAGACTCACTCTGAGAAATTCTGTTTAGTAAATTTAGTTGCAACACAAAAAATTAAAACTGGGATCAAAATCTTGCATGAAAATCTACCTTTTTTCGGGAGTGTCGAACTATATTCTGTGCTGATATTATTTTATGAAATGTCACGAAGACGTGAAATCGGGTAAAGCTAACTCGAAACCTATATATACGCGCTCGTACTTATTTAGTTTTTGGCCCGCTTTTTATTCAACACTTATTCAGTTGGGTGAATTTTTTCTCGACGTCCGTAGATTGTTCAATGAGATCCAGTAACACACAGTAACCGTCATTGAGGAAATCTTAAGCTAACGTTCACGCGATAACAAGGAATTCCTTCAAAAAAAGAATATCATTTTTATTTCCCTAGCATACATTCCACCGGTATCACCTCACAAAAGTTATCCTTTACAACTAACGAATATTTCCGCCTTTTCGTTAATTTCTTAGTTTGTTACATCAAGTCGTGGTGATCTAGATTTCTTTAACCTCAGTCACAACTGCCACCAGGGTCTGGTTGTCAGTCCACGAAAAGGAACGGCGGTCATGTGGTACAATCACTTCATAGATGAAGAAAGTGGCTGGATGGGTGCAAGAGACGAGTACAGTCTGCATGGAGGATGCGATATACTGAAGGGAGAAAAATGGATAGCTAATCTCTGGATAACCGCTCCTTACAGAGACGGGGCACATCTTCCCAGTTCGTGGCTTGGAAATTTTGATATTATTTAGGAGTTAAAATTATCTGTCTTTGCGTTTAGACTTAGACTTTGGCGCGTTTAGAAAACTTCCTGTGAAACACTTTCTGTTCAAAGAAGTTACTTTATCGTCGGCCTGACTACATGAAACATAGCTGTGTATGATGGCCGAGATGACATAAAGGATTTTACAGGACGTTGTCACATGACTATGGCTTTGCGCTACTCGTGAACTGAGATGGCGACTAAAACGTCAGAGAGGACTGTCATTTCAAGCTTCCACGACTGAGCACCTCGATGTTCTGTAGATGGATGCATGCATGCACCGCTGTCACCTTCATCATTTGTTATTACAGTAAAATGCAAATAATCGTACATTGACTTATAAAACCTTTATCCTGTATTTGAAGCATACAAGTTAGATAGAAAATTTCAAGTCTATTCCGGTTTCTTGGCTGTGGTGACAAAAAGGCGAAAATTCTCACACGTTAAGGGAAAAGCGCAAGGGTAAGGGAAAAGTATCCATTAAAAGCAAGTAGACTAGAGAAAAGCTTGCTAGTAAAAACTTTGAAAATATGTTGTTGATATCTGACGGGAGAATTCTGCAAATTGCTTGAAATTGAAAACAGTACGGATTGTTGAAATTAAAGTAGACCAAGGTAAACTTCTAGTCGGAGCAGTAGTTGGTGTAGATTGATCAGTTCCGCCTCTTCATACCTGTAGTTTCGGGGGAAGAGTGTGGGCTCATTAAGGCTCTTGGTCAGTAGGGACGACGTGAAAATTAACAGTGGGAGGCCAAAAGAAAAGCGAGCAGAGCAGGACCTTCCTCAGTTTTCTTTCGCTCGCCCGATTTTCCGCTTCGTCACTACTGACCGAAAGCCTGGGGCCGGCTAAAACGGCTGGTAATTGAGGTCATGGATGTTGTTGGTTTATCAGTAACTTTGAAAGAAATTTGATCTGGAATAAAGGTTATTTCGGGAAGCCTGCTTTGAAATTTTGAGTTTGAGTTGTATACCAAGGCTGAGTGGGTCAGTACATTCTTGGACTGATCATGTATTTGTACTTGTTGAATGAATTAACCATGGCTAATTCCCTCTATGATGCGCTTGCAAGGGAATCATGGTAGTTGTATTCATCATCTTGGACTGGATATTTGTTTTGATGAATAAAACTACCATGATTCCCTGCTGGTGCGTCTCAAAGAGGGAACTGGCCATTAACGTTACAGTTATAATTATTATAATATTTCATAGTTCTTCAGTCCATTTTAGTTATGTGTCTGCGTATACGTGTTAATTATGACTAAGTCAAAACGCGAAGTTTATTTATTTTATTGTATAACATGAAATAGCTATCTCGTTGTGCGGGTGAAAGTGATGGTGGCGACTTAAATGTATCATAAAAATATTGATCAGAAACAAAGTTAATTGGCAGTTATAATGATAGTATAACTTTAATGCCGTCAGGAAAGTGTTTTCCATGATTCTTATTAGTATTCAACTTCCTTTCGCAGTTGCAACACTAAAGCATTTATTCGTCGCTTTTTTATGTTTTAACAGACATCCTAGCAGGCTAAAACTGGCAAAATTCTCGTGGTTCAAAGTAATTTGTCTTAGCGTTCTGTGGCATGCAATTAACTCGCATGGTGTAATCATATCTTAACGTCATGGCACAGGCGAATCAGGAATCTTGTGAAAGAGAAGTTGGAACAGTACGAATACGAAAGTTGCAAACTCCAAGGGTAGCTACAGTAATTTTGTTTCCTTCTTCTTCTTACCCTGAACAATGCAAACAATTTCTCGACCTAAAGGGAGAGGCCTAACTTAAAATCCAATCTAACCCTCTCCCTGGGTCCGCCTATGCACTGTAGTTTAATTATTTCGAAAACAATCATGCTTTCCTTGACTGTCATGGATCTTTCAAGTTCGACTCTATATTGACACCAACAATGCACAGTTGCCCTTTGGATGTTGAGGTCTACAACACTTGTCTTTATATGTGTTATCAGTCTTCAGTGAAGTAGATATCCGGACCGAGTATGTATTGGCTCGGGACATGAGCTCTGCTCTTGTATGGAGCTGTGATCCAGTTATTTGCGATCCATTTAATTCCTTTTCTGACTGCACATCCTCCGTGAATTGAATACTCGTCCATTTTCCCCATCCAGCCGCTGTCCGGGTCCATGAAGTGGTTGTACCACATGATGGCGGTTCCTTTCTTGGGCCTCACTACAAGATTTGCCTTGTGACAGAATTCACTCAAGTTGTAAATATCTTCTTTGGATCGTAGGTTCCCGAAATTCTACACAGAAAACAAAACAAAATATGGGTTAAATGAAATACTATAAATACTAAATAGTTTTTGTTGTTGTTTCGTTTTCAATGAGCTAGTAATGCACAAATTGAAATGAAACTGCAAATTCATAAAGTAAAAGTTATGTATCATTATAGAAAATGATCAAGGTAATTTGCAATTGGGCTACCTAAAAAGCGGGCATTCTTTTAAACCTGTACAGCTGACTTCATTAGTAAAGAACTTTCTATTCGTGTGTGTCAAGTGTAGGATTTTAGGGGCGGAAATTAAATTAGTGTGGTTAAGATGCTTTGGAGAAATATTCTGGAAGTCAGGAAATCACGAATACATGTACAGTAACTAACCTCTTTCACAAAAGTTGCATTGTCCGCCATCGGGAATGCTGTTTCTCCACCCTCGGGGGGTTCATTCAAGAAATAGAGAAATGTAACATATCTGAAATATAGGTTATTCAAGAAGAACTATAACAATCTTACTTGAGTAGAAAACCTGACCAGCCCTATTCAAGAGTGTGGATAGCTAGCCATGATTAATGCAAAAATAGAAACAGTGGGGAAGGTCACGAACTGACTCCTAGTAAGAAACAAAGATGGATGAATTATATTGTCGGTGCAGTGTTGCCGATCCATTGGTCTGACTTATTTCATAGCTTCCCTTTTTTGCTTATTTTTTCGTTGGTGCTCGTGTTTAAAACAGGATTCTGTTCTCATTTTCTTCGATAAATATAGGCCACCCTAGATTACACGCCAAACCATCTGTCGCTGGTCACTTGAATTGAGGGGCGCGGGATTGTACATACAGTGTAAGACCCCGTCCGCACTACACTGAAGAAATTTAAAAACGGCGTTTTAACTACTAAAACGCATCAAATGTTTTTTGTCCACACTACTTCGGATATATTTGAAATCGCAACAATCATTCGGTCATTTTGGCTTTGTATCTAAGAAAACACGAGCAGGAAATCACATGATTATTGTGACATCATCGTTTTCGAAAAGTTCCGTTTTCAATTTTTGCCTTCCTCGTTTTAAACGTAAAGCTGGCTTTTTTAAATTTCTCGGTCTGAAGAGCGTTTCGGAAAGCCTCCATTTTCGTGATAGACTGGTGTGGACGGTAGGCCTAGCGGCTTAGAAACAAAGTTGCGTTTTATTCGGTGTAGTGTCAACGGCGCCTAAGGTGCACTCCAGTTTAACGATCATTTTACATTTTCAATGCAATGTAAAGCGGACGTGTGATGAAATACATACCTGCACAACTTGCATTTATTCTCATTGTCTGTTCCAGCATTTGGAACCTGGTGGCAGCAAGGGAAGTCAGGATGTTCGTGTGTTTCACTGTCCAAGTGGGCGTGGTAATGTCCATCGACTCCATAACGGACAACCTGTCGATTACAATCACATAACTGTAAGTTCTTTAAGTAACTAAGATAAACAACACTATAACTGAGACTCAAGAGCCACCGGTTGTCAGTGTACCCCTTTTTCCAAACTTTGTGAATGGGATTTACCTGGCAGCTGAGCACTAATTAGTAAAAATTTAATTGTTAGCTCATAAATGACACGTTTTTAACTGATAGCTGACAGAGGTCTGCAAAATTTTCTGACTAATAGAAGAGAAATCGCTCAGAATACTTAATAAAAAGTAGTTTATTGTTCTCTGAGAAATTTTAGTTGGTGTTCATAAAAAACCCCCCTCGCCCCTGAAAGTGAACTGGAGTTTTACCAGTGGTACCTTACCTGCAGGTACTCACTGCCATAAATAATCTCATCCGGGAGCTTTGTAATGGCTTGTATTCTACAAAGCAAAATGTCATTAACTTGTAAGTAAAAAACACAGCAATCATATTATTCATGGACTTTTGTATGCGTATGGGAAGGCTTAACTGAGATCAGCAAGAAAATGGAACTGAATTGACAGTTGGAGTGCCATCCCTCTTCATCTAATATCAGTCTGAAAACGATAGCCTGTTGCAGGCTCTCTGTCAGCGAAGGACAATTGAAAAGCGGGGCCCGTTCATTTTTCTTTCCCCCCACCCCTTTTTTTTTCGATCGCTCCCACTGACCGACAGCCAGGAACAGACTAGACCGACTTAAGGTCCGGAATACAAAGTAACCCCTCTATCCCTTATTAAAGCACGGAACTGCCAACCTATGTAACCCACCTGTCCTTCTCTTTAAGCACCTATCGATCTGCCCCATTATTGTTGTTGTTTTTTTTTGTGTGTGTGTGTGTGTGTGTGTGTGTGTGTGTGTGTTTTGTTTTCTTTTTTATGGTTTGGTTGGTTTTTTTGCCATTGTTTGTTTGTTTGTTTGTTTGCTTGTTTGTTTACCATGAGTAACGCCCTTATAGTAACACACTTTTGCATGATTGTAGATGGATATCACATAGTCAACAAAAAATCGGTAAAACAAAATCATCCGCTGCAAAAAGATTATCAGGAATTTCGCGCTTCATTTTCTCAGTCTACCTCAAGCGAATGTCTTGAAGAATTCCATCCTCATGTTCCTGTGTTAGCCATGTTTGTTCACTGAACCTCTCTCTGTGACGTGGATGGCTCCGACCCATTTCATACAGGTAACTGTCAATCAGAAGCGTGTTCATGTCCTGAAATTCTTGGTGGGTAATGACTCCTATGTAAAGAACATGTGCTTTATTATGCTGTACGTAGAAGTTGGAAATAAACGTACCCGGATCAAAATATCTCAGTAGTTCATTTATTTATTTTAAAGAGCATCAAGTGCCCCATGAATAACATTTTGCAAACCAACGAGAGAGGGTTATATATGTGTATGAAAGAAACTGAGTTTGATTTTAACAGTAAAATTCCAGCAGACAAAAATTAAAGACAATTATAGACCTTTGCATAAAATGGCGCCTAAATTTGAATAACAATTCTCATACATCCTAAGCCTCACATTCATGTGTAAAATCCTTTGTCTGGAAACATCAGTACGAGGCTAAGGATGTACAAAGTATTGTTATTCAAGTATAAGCGTCACTCTTGCAAAGGGACTATAGTTATGTTTATTTAAAACTTGCTTCTCTCAGTATTTGACACAGTAGTCTTATGTGTCTTGTTAAATTGCGCGTGAATACCGTCACTTGCATCTAAGCGCGAACACGTGATGCCGAAACATGTTCTAGTGGGTGTCCAACGTGGCATGATTGGTCATCAAACATTTGAAGTTTAGCAGACCGTAAAGCGAACTTTTGCACTGAAAGTCTTGCTCCCGCCAATATTTCATGGTTATACTGGAAGTAAAACCACTTTCCCAAAAGGCGTATGCATATTGACACAGGTCAGGGTCAATTCTCTGAAGAAATCTTCAATGTCCAATCTTTCTACCATTTCGTACGCTGAAATTTGAGCGCGAAAGTTCGCGTCATGGTCTCCCTAAAACTTCAAATGTTTGATGACTAATCTAGTTTTTTTNTTTCCCGAAAGGCGTATGCATATTGACACAGGTCAGGGTCAATTCTCTGAAGAAGTGTTCAATGTCCAATCTTTCTGCCATTTCGTATGCTGAAATTTGAGTGCGAAAGTTCGCGTCACGGTCTCCCTAAAACTTCAAATGTTTGATGACCAATCATGCTACGTTTGACACCCAATTAAAGCATGTTTCACGTGTTCACGCTTAGATGCAAGCGACGGTAGTTCCTTTCATCAATCAAAGTCATAAAACTGACGGTCTGTCTTAGTCTTTGTTTTAGATCTGTTTTCTTTAGCAGAAAAATTACGTTTGCAACTGTTCAAAGTACTTACCATCATCTAACTCACGTAATTTTAAATCATCAAATCTGTAAACAACAAAGATATTTTCTTGAATTATCATGATGCATTTTTATCTCTTCGCACGATACTTGACTACTCCCATACTCGCAGCTCCAGTCACCAGATAGAAGTCTTTACACTAGAGTCGATCGATCCTTAGTAATTAACTTCCTATTTGGCAAATTATTCAACAACAAATTTGAAATGAACATATTGTAAACTTACAGTCGTTTCACTTCTGCATCAGTGAGATAAAGGTAGCGGTATATCTTGGCAAACTGTTTAAACTAGAGAAAAAAATGATGAAATGTTTTGATTTGTCAATTCTAAACATTACAAACTTGCTTTCTACTACTGTTCGTGTGGAGCCAGCTAAGTCAAACAAACAACTACAAAAATGACCATGTTCTATTTGAAATTTTACAGTGAACATATTTTCTTTTTATTCTCACCTCGTTAACCGTTATTTTGCCATCTTGATTAAAATCCCAATTCTCGTACATTCCTCTCGGTCCATCTGCTTTTCCATATACTATAAGGCAGTCATTCAAGCGTAATCGAAAATTTTTCTCAAACTCATAAATAATTCATATATCAAACACTCAAGACAGTGTTTGACCACATTTCCAAACACCTCATAGTTCGTCAAAAATATTCCGCTGTGCGTCGTATTTCGCTGTTTGGAAATGTGGTCAAACACGGTCTTTCGTGTTTGATATATTACATAACACCACGGAATCACTTCATACCATCAGTGTTTCAGTCAGTATAGATCTGAGCGCCTGCTGTATTTTATTAAGAATACTCAAGGATGAGTTTTTAGCAGAATAAAATGCGCCCGAAAACCACCGCTGATGTAATTACATAGAGCTAGTGAAAATTCTGGAATACTGAGTAACTGTTTGAATAAAACCATTAATGCGGAAAGAGACGAACTTGATAGGGAGAGGTCGAGTAATGGGATAGAAGGGAAAGACGTTCAAACGATAAAACACTTCAACGACAAAATAATTTTGAGACTGAATATTCAGTATCGAATTCGCGGACACTCAGGTAAACTTTGGGCTGCAATAATGGTGTTTAATGTTAAAGAAGTCTCAATGCGCTGACTTTGAACGGTTAACATTAAACATTTTGATCAACTTGCAATCGAACTCTCGGTGTGAAAGTTCGATTAAACTGTCAGATGAATTCTTTCACTACTCGCTGAAANCTGACTTTGAACGGTTAACATTAAACATTTTGATCAACTTGCAATCGAACTCTCGGTGTGAAAGTTCGATTAAACTGTCAGATGAATTCTTTCACTACTCGCTGAAACAGTCATAAGGCCTGGCATGCCAGTTAGATAAAACGCACACACATGTAGCATCTCAATATTTTATGAAAACGTCTGCATGTGTCCTGAAAGATCTAATAATTAGCTAAATAACTTCAGGTCCTAGTTTTCCACGAACAAATGGGCAACCCACGACAGACAAAGCCTAGTCTCAATTCGCAGACATTACCAAACGATAAAGGGAACAATCACATACGCGCATTTGTATTAAACCAGCTTGCAGTTTCTGTAGATGCCTGTTATTGGACTGGACCTAGCTTGCAGCTGAGGCTATTGCGGGCAGTCGTTTCAAATACAAATGACGTTAATCTCTTTTTAATACAATATTCACCGGCATGAGCCTCCATTGCAAGCTGGATCCAGTCTAACACCGAGAATACCAAAAAGGCCTATTCACTTTATTAGCTTTACTTTACAGAACTCACATTTTGGGTCATACTTCCATGTGTCACTCTCAGTTAGTCCACCTTTAGCCACACTTTTGAACAATTCGTTTTCGCTTGCCAGTGATATGATATGATCGCATTCCTCTTCCGACAGGAAATTCGGGATTTCTAAAAAAAGGATGAAGAATTTTGATCTCAATCAATAAGTTCTAAAAACGAATACAGGACCAGTTTATGACAGTAACAATACTGTAGTATTCTGCTCAGAGCTAAGCGCGCGCAAGAACGAGCCCCACACCATAGTTATTGCGCTGGGACAATCCCCCCCTCTCCTTCTCCGGCTTGCATTTTGCTCGTACCCTCAATCGACGATATTAGAGAAGATAGAAACTCTCTGAACAGACTAGTACTGTAGAATTGAACTGACTCGCTTCGATATTAGTAAATATAAAATAACATAGCCTACTTGCAGCCACTTCCTATTTTCTGGATCTTTCTTTCCAAATCTGTAATCTATTAGACTGTTCACAGCCCTATATTTTCTCGTATTTTTATTCAATCGTTGAACGCGCGGGTAGAATCGCGAGAGAACTGGACAGGTGGGGACCGATTCTTCTTGCTCGCTGCGCTCGCAAACCCCACCCTCCACCCCCGCGTGCTTCGTGTTCGCCTCGCTCGCTTTTTCTTTCGCGTGCGTGAGTAGAGAGGCTGTGAGTACAGAGGCTGTGAACAGTGTAGTAATATATCTGTTTCTCGGAAATAATTTTCTTTTTTTCTTCATACATGTGCTTTTAAAAGGAAATATCGTCAGTTAAACAAATTGACGTCAGTTTTTCATGCGACTGATCATGAATTGCGTCATGTAACATTTTCAAAGTAACCGTGAATCCACGAGGCGATAGCCGTGTGGATCCGCAGACTACTTTTAGAATGTTATGACTAAATTCATTGTCAGTAACAGGACAGACGCATTAAAAACTGACGTTAATTTGTTTTTTTACGATAATGAATTATCAATTGTCCGCTCTCGCTCGTTGACGCATCGCATAAATTATAAATTCATGCGTCTGTCCGCTTATTGACGGTGAAAATTACCCGATGAGCCCGCGAGAATTTTTGCAGTTATCGTAGAAAAAAACCTAATAGGGTCAGCTATGTAGATCATTGGAGTGGCGTCAACTTACCGAACAGTAGTGGTTTCAGAGCTCTAGTAATCAAGACTTTTTTCTCAAGTCCTAGATCTACCTCTTGTCGATGCCCAACCTGAAAAATGATAGATAAAAACCTACCAGCCGCGCTTTACATTAGAAATCCATGAAATTGATTGACTCCCCTAACCATTGGAAGTCAACGGAGGTGTGCGTTTCTCATTTCTGTCACGTTAATCGTAAAAGCAAAGATCAAATGAATTTTCAGTGTCAGACATTTGTGTGCAAGTAGACCATGATAAATTTGAAATACTAAACAAGTTTTTCAGCGGGGTTTTCAACGTTCTACCAAGGTCAGTTTCACTCGGACCAGTTACGTTTTCCTACAAGCTACGTTTTCCAACAAGCATTCCCGACGTTTTCACATGTCAGTCCTACCCCCCCCCCTCCCCCCGGTTATAATAAGGGGAATTAATCGCCCAAGCGAGCTTATTGTTTTCCCGGTGCTACACGGTACCAGAATTCAACTCGGGTAATTCAAATGACTGGGTCTTGGAGGGCAATTTGAACAAAAAAACGTATCTAGCATTTATTTCTTTTTGTTGGTCTTGGAGCTGAATCAGAAATCAAGAATCCTGGTGCATCTAAGTTGTTTATTTCCAGATCGCTTTAAGTGCATTCAATTTGGTTTGTACGACTTAATCATGTTGATTTAATAGTACTGACCATGTGTATTTATCGCCGAGCCTAGGGATGTTAGATTTTAATGTTGTGACTGAAACAGCAAAATCTATCAAAAATAACTAAACATTAAGCTTACCGAATGTAAAGTAAGCTTGGCACATTGGATGCATCCCACGGTAATCGAGTAGGTTAGGGGCCTGAAGACCTCAGTATTACAGAGGTCGCCGTATCATATACAAGCCCATCTGTTTGTATAAATATAAGTCGTAAGAACTGGTTCTAGTGTTTTTCTGTTGTCTCAGTGGTTTTCAGCGGGGCGAAGCAAAACTTGCACTGCGTTGACTTATAAAAGGAAAGGCGCGGTAAGGGAAGAACGTATTACAGCTACTTACTTTCACTCCATCAAGACGTGTTAAAATTCCTTTCTCTCGCGGAATGAAACACGGCCGCTCATCGGTTACACACGTGTCGTCTTTACATTGTTGTTTAAAGCCAGGATCAACGTTTGAATCGGTGTAAAAACGACACTGAACACACAGGAAGAAGGCAGCAAGGAATAAAATAGTTTCCACTCTCATTTTGTTAGCTGGTTTTCAACGAAAAGGAACATATTACTGATGGTCTCGAAAGCCTCTTTTTTAGTCATAAATAATTGACCCAACAAGGCCGGAAGAGCACCTGTTAACCGGGTTGTGGGTCATTCAGGGTTCCCTGTTATCTTGAAAATGACCAATTTCGCTGCTCGCGTACATTAAAACCTACGATGTACGAGAAAAGCTGTATACTTTTATTCTTGAACTCAAACAATTGCGATCGTAATTTTAACGTGTACACCCGGCCGGGTATTGGCCCTGTTCAGAAACTGAACTTACGTACGTTTCAGTATTTTCTTTGTGTTTAGTTCTTTCCAGTTGTTTGTGTGATACACTTAAATGAAATGTTACGCAGTTTCATAGTGTAAAACAATCTAACTCAATTTGGTTACAGAAAAGTTCGCCAACCAGGTGAAATGCAAAATGTATTACAATTAACAAATAGAACATCACTTCGATTAAAATGCATGATAGAATATATATAGTGATTCCTTTCAAGCCAATAAGTTCCTTCAAAAACTGCATTTAAAACAAAAACAAATATTATCGATCCAAGGAGAGCAGTTAGTTGGTTTGTTAGATAAAAAAAAAAAAAAGAAAGAAAACCAGGAGTTTAACAGAGAAATACTTCATGCGCTCAATATGGGACTTGAACCCATGGCCCTCAGATTAAAAGTCTGATGCTCTACCGACTAAGCTAACCGGGCTCGTACAGATACTTTTGCATAATTTTAGTGTTATTCATGAACCTGTAGATGTAGAAACCAGTGAACCTATTGGCTGGTGAAACAAAGGATTCTTCTGTTTAACGTGTTGAACATTTAAATAACAAAAACAATGGTTGTAAAAAAATATCTTCCCTATTCATTTCAGATCATGTAATAAAGCATCTCAGGCATCGAAAGAAATCTGAAGAAGAAAAGCTACGGATGCTCTGTAACAAAGTCAGTTGGCAATATATTTTGCATGTACATTTTATTTTTTATGCAGACGACACTTTTGCAGTAATGCAGGCGGCTCTTTTGGAGGCTCTTTGAGCGCTAGGAATTATAATGTATATGAAAAAAGGAAAGTACCAAGAGTAATATTGAACCATAACAAATATCAAACAGCAAAAGGTGATTCCTCCGCGTCACAATTGTCTTTCACAAACGTACCACGAGTCTCGCAAAGTGTTCGTCGAATTTCATGAGTCTCGCAGTCTCGTTTTTTAGCCGTTGGGCGAGTCTCACAGTCTCGATTATTTTTTCAGGTCTCGTTTTTCGCGAGATTAAGGAAGTCTCGAATTGTCCCGATTTGCTTGGTTTTATGAATGACATTTGAACGTCTCTTTGAAGTCTCGGTCTTGCAATGGTTTGGTTTGGTAATGGTCGAATGTTTCGAGCGCCTACTTGAGTTCAATTCTTCGACGTTTACGTTTGTAAATAGCCAACTGCTCTGCCTCCCGCAAGTTGGGAGTTTTAACCACATAAATTATGTTCATTTCAATTTACTTCAGTTCCTTTGTTTGTTTCACGCATTGGCCCTGAATTCCCATTACGAGAGAAACAATGAAGATCTCTGTATCTCTAATTCAGCAGATACATGAACACCGTAACCTAGGCAGCCTTCGTTTTGTCAAAAAATTTTCTTTTCATAAGCAAATTACTTCTCGCCTTGGCTTGGCACTTTGTTTGACCATTTTTCCTTACTTTTTGACACTCTATTCGTGTATAAACATATACGTACAATTGCGCTCTTTTTATATTTTTCCTCAAATAATACAGTTACGTTTGGAAGCCGAAGGTTTTTAATTTAATTTGTCTTTTTTAACCAGAGAACGACGTCTTTAATTTTTCATGATCTTTGCTGTCCAAGCTTGGAGGCTCATTTTTTGAAGTTCTACACATTAAAGACTGTATTCCGATCAGTATATATTCATTTGATATATACATTGCTGATTATTTTCTGCAATCAATCAATCTTTATTTTCGTTCCTCAATTAATATTTTTATAGTTAGACTGGCCGGCGAATAGCTAGTGCTATAGTCTAGGCGGGCCACTCTATCAACGTTTTTTTAAAATAAATACACTACAAGAGCGTAAGCAAATTATGGCAAAGTAAATAAATAAAATAGAAAGGTAAGAAAAGAATCTTTTCGTTTTGATATCTGTGGTCCGAAAGAGTAATAACGTGGGCTCCTATTTGAATAACATAAAACATAATTTTTAGAGGTGTGAAACTTGAAAACGCTGTTTCCCTCCTCGTAAAACGAGACATTCACTGAACTAAATAAATTAAGATTACTGCATTATATTATTTTGTATGAGGCACGATAATTTTCGACGTTGGCTTCTTATGGCCGTTTTTCTCGACAGCTTTGGGGAATGTTCGAAAATCGCTGATATCATTGTATCCCTGGGACATGTACCCGCAACAATTTCATGTGTGTGCAAATGTTGTGATTCTGTCCCCGCTACGTGTCCCCGCTACACGTCCCTGCTACATGTCGCCACAGTGTGCACTACACAAGTTTTTTGTCGCTGCACTCGTCGCTGCAACATGTCCCTGCAACATGACCCCACGTGTCTGGCGACCTTTAAGGTGCGTTCTTCAGTAGAATTTAGTTGTATAGACAATCCTCAGAAATTGAAATCCTTGATGTCGCTTACTTTGAGGTATTTACTATTGGGTAAAATATCGTTTCTTCAGGTTAACAGTATCCATTTCAAAGTCATCTATAATTTAAAAAGCGTAGTAAATTTAAATCCTTGGCAATGAATAACAGTTCTACGGGTATGACATTGCTGTCCAAATGCTAAATTGAAAATTAAAGGTTGTAAAAACCCTCGGACAAGGACCTGGAAAAAAATTGCCATTTTATTACCCAAAGATAGAAGAACCCGTTTAGCCTAGCAAGATCAAGCAGGTTCCTATATGTGGGTTACAGTAAATTATGTTAAACATTTTATTAAGCAAGGAGAGTGACTTAAGTCTGGTTTTCATCAGCAACGCAAGCGCAAGCGCAAGCACAAGCGCAAGCACAAGCGCAAGCACAAGCGCAAGCACAAGCGCAAGCACAANGACACTCAGGTAAACTTTGGGCTGCAATAATGGTGTTTAATGTTAAAGAAGTCTCAATGCGCTGACTTTGAACGGTTAACATTAAACATTTTGATCAACTTGCAATCGAACTCTCGGTGTGAAAGTTCGATTAAACTGTCAGATGAATTCTTTCACTACTCGCTGAAACAGTCATAAGGCCTGGCATGCCAGTTAGATAAAACGCACACACATGTAGCATCTCAATATTTTATGAAAACGTCTGCATGTGTCCTGAAAGATCTAATAATTAGCTAAATAACTTCAGGTCCTAGTTTTCCACGAACAAATGGGCAACCCACGACAGACAAAGCCTAGTCTCAATTCGCAGACATTACCAAACGATAAAGGGAACAATCACATACGCGCATTTGTATTAAACCAGCTTGCAGTTTCTGTAGATGCCTGTTATTGGACTGGACCTAGCTTGCAGCTGAGGCTATTGCGGGCAGTCGTTTCAAATACAAATGACGTTAATCTCTTTTTAATACAATATTCACCGGCATGAGCCTCCATTGCAAGCTGGATCCAGTCTAACACCGAGAATACCAAAAAGGCCTATTCACTTTATTAGCTTTACTTTACAGAACTCACATTTTGGGTCATACTTCCATGTGTCACTCTCAGTTAGTCCACCTTTAGCCACACTTTTGAACAATTCGTTTTCGCTTGCCAGTGATATGATATGATCGCATTCCTCTTCCGACAGGAAATTCGGGATTTCTAAAAAAAGGATGAAGAATTTTGATCTCAATCAATAAGTTCTAAAAACGAATACAGGACCAGTTTATGACAGTAACAATACTGTAGTATTCTGCTCAGAGCTAAGCGCGCGCAAGAACGAGCCCCACACCATAGTTATTGCGCTGGGACAATCCCCCCCTCTCCTTCTCCGGCTTGCATTTTGCTCGTACCCTCAATCGACGATATTAGAGAAGATAGAAACTCTCTGAACAGACTAGTACTGTAGAATTGAACTGACTCGCTTCGATATTAGTAAATATAAAATAACATAGCCTACTTGCAGCCACTTCCTATTTTCTGGATCTTTCTTTCCAAATCTGTAATCTATTAGACTGTTCACAGCCCTATATTTTCTCGTATTTTTATTCAATCGTTGAACGCGCGGGTAGAATCGCGAGAGAACTGGACAGGTGGGGACCGATTCTTCTTGCTCGCTGCGCTCGCAAACCCCACCCTCCACCCCCGCGTGCTTCGTGTTCGCCTCGCTCGCTTTTTCTTTCGCGTGCGTGAGTAGAGAGGCTGTGAGTACAGAGGCTGTGAACAGTGTAGTAATATATCTGTTTCTCGGAAATAATTTTCTTTTTTTCTTCATACATGTGCTTTTAAAAGGAAATATCGTCAGTTAAACAAATTGACGTCAGTTTTTCATGCGACTGATCATGAATTGCGTCATGTAACATTTTCAAAGTAACCGTGAATCCACGAGGCGATAGCCGTGTGGATCCGCAGACTACTTTTAGAATGTTATGACTAAATTCATTGTCAGTAACAGGACAGACGCATTAAAAACTGACGTTAATTTGTTTTTTTACGATAATGAATTATCAATTGTCCGCTCTCGCTCGTTGACGCATCGCATAAATTATAAATTCATGCGTCTGTCCGCTTATTGACGGTGAAAATTACCCGATGAGCCCGCGAGAATTTTTGCAGTTATCGTAGAAAAAAACCTAATAGGGTCAGCTATGTAGATCATTGGAGTGGCGTCAACTTACCGAACAGTAGTGGTTTCAGAGCTCTAGTAATCAAGACTTTTTTCTCAAGTCCTAGATCTACCTCTTGTCGATGCCCAACCTGAAAAATGATAGATAAAAACCTACCAGCCGCGCTTTACATTAGAAATCCATGAAATTGATTGACTCCCCTAACCATTGGAAGTCAACGGAGGTGTGCGTTTCTCATTTCTGTCACGTTAATCGTAAAAGCAAAGATCAAATGAATTTTCAGTGTCAGACATTTGTGTGCAAGTAGACCATGATAAATTTGAAATACTAAACAAGTTTTTCAGCGGGGTTTTCAACGTTCTACCAAGGTCAGTTTCACTCGGACCAGTTACGTTTTCCTACAAGCTACGTTTTCCAACAAGCATTCCCGACGTTTTCACATGTCAGTCCTACCCCCCCCCCTCCCCCCGGTTATAATAAGGGGAATTAATCGCCCAAGCGAGCTTATTGTTTTCCCGGTGCTACACGGTACCAGAATTCAACTCGGGTAATTCAAATGACTGGGTCTTGGAGGGCAATTTGAACAAAAAAACGTATCTAGCATTTATTTCTTTTTGTTGGTCTTGGAGCTGAATCAGAAATCAAGAATCCTGGTGCATCTAAGTTGTTTATTTCCAGATCGCTTTAAGTGCATTCAATTTGGTTTGTACGACTTAATCATGTTGATTTAATAGTACTGACCATGTGTATTTATCGCCGAGCCTAGGGATGTTAGATTTTAATGTTGTGACTGAAACAGCAAAATCTATCAAAAATAACTAAACATTAAGCTTACCGAATGTAAAGTAAGCTTGGCACATTGGATGCATCCCACGGTAATCGAGTAGGTTAGGGGCCTGAAGACCTCAGTATTACAGAGGTCGCCGTATCATATACAAGCCCATCTGTTTGTATAAATATAAGTCGTAAGAACTGGTTCTAGTGTTTTTCTGTTGTCTCAGTGGTTTTCAGCGGGGCGAAGCAAAACTTGCACTGCGTTGACTTATAAAAGGAAAGGCGCGGTAAGGGAAGAACGTATTACAGCTACTTACTTTCACTCCATCAAGACGTGTTAAAATTCCTTTCTCTCGCGGAATGAAACACGGCCGCTCATCGGTTACACACGTGTCGTCTTTACATTGTTGTTTAAAGCCAGGATCAACGTTTGAATCGGTGTAAAAACGACACTGAACACACAGGAAGAAGGCAGCAAGGAATAAAATAGTTTCCACTCTCATTTTGTTAGCTGGTTTTCAACGAAAAGGAACATATTACTGATGGTCTCGAAAGCCTCTTTTTTAGTCATAAATAATTGACCCAACACGGCCGGAAGAGCACCTGTTAACCGGGTTGTGGGTCATTCAGGGTTCCCTGTTATCTTGAAAATGACCAATTTCGCTGCTCGCGTACATTAAAACCTACGATGTACGAGAAAAGCTGTATACTTTTATTCTTGAACTCAAACAATTGCGATCGTAATTTTAACGTGTACACCCGGCCGGGTATTGGCCCTGTTCAGAAACTGAACTTACGTACGTTTCAGTATTTTCTTTGTGTTTAGTTCTTTCCAGTTGTTTGTGTGATACACTTAAATGAAATGTTACGCAGTTTCATAGTGTAAAACAATCTAACTCAATTTGGTTACAGAAAAGTTCGCCAACCAGGTGAAATGCAAAATGTATTACAATTAACAAATAGAACATCACTTCGATTAAAATGCATGATAGAATATATATAGTGATTCCTTTCAAGCCAATAAGTTCCTTCAAAAACTGCATTTAAAACAAAAACAAATATTATCGATCCAAGGAGAGCAGTTAGTTGGTTTGTTAGATAAAAAAAAAAAAAAGAAAGAAAACCAGGAGTTTAACAGAGAAATACTTCATGCGCTCAATATGGGACTTGAACCCATGGCCCTCAGATTAAAAGTCTGATGCTCTACCGACTAAGCTAACCGGGCTCGTACAGATACTTTTGCATAATTTTAGTGTTATTCATGAACCTGTAGATGTAGAAACCAGTGAACCTATTGGCTGGTGAAACAAAGGATTCTTCTGTTTAACGTGTTGAACATTTAAATAACAAAAACAATGGTTGTAAAAAAATATCTTCCCTATTCATTTCAGATCATGTAATAAAGCATCTCAGGCATCGAAAGAAATCTGAAGAAGAAAAGCTACGGATGCTCTGTAACAAAGTCAGTTGGCAATATATTTTGCATGTACATTTTATTTTTTATGCAGACGACACTTTTGCAGTAATGCAGGCGGCTCTTTTGGAGGCTCTTTGAGCGCTAGGAATTATAATGTATATGAAAAAAGGAAAGTACCAAGAGTAATATTGAACCATAACAAATATCAAACAGCAAAAGGTGATTCCTCCGCGTCACAATTGTCTTTCACAAACGTACCACGAGTCTCGCAAAGTGTTCGTCGAATTTCATGAGTCTCGCAGTCTCGTTTTTTAGCCGTTGGGCGAGTCTCACAGTCTCGATTATTTTTTCAGGTCTCGTTTTTCGCGAGATTAAGGAAGTCTCGAATTGTCCCGATTTGCTTGGTTTTATGAATGACATTTGAACGTCTCTTTGAAGTCTCGGTCTTGCAATGGTTTGGTTTGGTAATGGTCGAATGTTTCGAGCGCCTACTTGAGTTCAATTCTTCGACGTTTACGTTTGTAAATAGCCAACTGCTCTGCCTCCCGCAAGTTGGGAGTTTTAACCACATAAATTATGTTCATTTCAATTTACTTCAGTTCCTTTGTTTGTTTCACGCATTGGCCCTGAATTCCCATTACGAGAGAAACAATGAAGATCTCTGTATCTCTAATTCAGCAGATACATGAACACCGTAACCTAGGCAGCCTTCGTTTTGTCAAAAAATTTTCTTTTCATAAGCAAATTACTTCTCGCCTTGGCTTGGCACTTTGTTTGACCATTTTTCCTTACTTTTTGACACTCTATTCGTGTATAAACATATACGTACAATTGCGCTCTTTTTATATTTTTCCTCAAATAATACAGTTACGTTTGGAAGCCGAAGGTTTTTAATTTAATTTGTCTTTTTTAACCAGAGAACGACGTCTTTAATTTTTCATGATCTTTGCTGTCCAAGCTTGGAGGCTCATTTTTTGAAGTTCTACACATTAAAGACTGTATTCCGATCAGTATATATTCATTTGATATATACATTGCTGATTATTTTCTGCAATCAATCAATCTTTATTTTCGTTCCTCAATTAATATTTTTATAGTTAGACTGGCCGGCGAATAGCTAGTGCTATAGTCTAGGCGGGCCACTCTATCAACGTTTTTTTAAAATAAATACACTACAAGAGCGTAAGCAAATTATGGCAAAGTAAATAAATAAAATAGAAAGGTAAGAAAAGAATCTTTTCGTTTTGATATCTGTGGTCCGAAAGAGTAATAACGTGGGCTCCTATTTGAATAACATAAAACATAATTTTTAGAGGTGTGAAACTTGAAAACGCTGTTTCCCTCCTCGTAAAACGAGACATTCACTGAACTAAATAAATTAAGATTACTGCATTATATTATTTTGTATGAGGCACGATAATTTTCGACGTTGGCTTCTTATGGCCGTTTTTCTCGACAGCTTTGGGGAATGTTCGAAAATCGCTGATATCATTGTATCCCTGGGACATGTACCCGCAACAATTTCATGTGTGTGCAAATGTTGTGATTCTGTCCCCGCTACGTGTCCCCGCTACACGTCCCTGCTACATGTCGCCACAGTGTGCACTACACAAGTTTTTTGTCGCTGCACTCGTCGCTGCAACATGTCCCTGCAACATGACCCCACGTGTCTGGCGACCTTTAAGGTGCGTTCTTCAGTAGAATTTAGTTGTATAGACAATCCTCAGAAATTGAAATCCTTGATGTCGCTTACTTTGAGGTATTTACTATTGGGTAAAATATCGTTTCTTCAGGTTAACAGTATCCATTTCAAAGTCATCTATAATTTAAAAAGCGTAGTAAATTTAAATCCTTGGCAATGAATAACAGTTCTACGGGTATGACATTGCTGTCCAAATGCTAAATTGAAAATTAAAGGTTGTAAAAACCCTCGGACAAGGACCTGGAAAAAAATTGCCATTTTATTACCCAAAGATAGAAGAACCCGTTTAGCCTAGCAAGATCAAGCAGGTTCCTATATGTGGGTTACAGTAAATTATGTTAAACATTTTATTAAGCAAGGAGAGTGACTTAAGTCTGGTTTTCATCAGCAACGCAAGCGCAAGCGCAAGCACAAGCGCAAGCACAAGCGCAAGCACAAGCGCAAGCACAAGCGCAAGCACAAGCGCAAGCACAAGCGCAAGCACAAACGCAAACACAAGCGCAAACACAAGCACAAACACAAGCGCAAGCTAAGCACAAGCGCACGCACAAGAGCAGACACAAGCGCAAGCACAAGAGCAAACACAAGTGCAAACACAAGCACAAGCACAAGCGCAAGCAAGAGTGCAGACACAAGCGCAGGCACAAGCTAGCCCAAGCACAAGCGCAAGCATAAGCACAAGCGCAAGCAATAGGGATGACCCGAGTGAAAACGAAATTCGAACCTTAATTCCGCCATTTTGAAAAACTGTTTAGCGCCAGGTAACCTAGATCCAGTGTTTTCACTGGCCCAAAATAACCACATGTGGTAAACATCCTTTTGTTTGTGTTATGCCTGAACGGTATTTCGTTTTCACTTGTTGCAGCGCAAGCACAAGAAAAAGGACAAATTTTGATCTTTGTGCTTATGCTTGCGCTCGTGCTTATGCACGTTTTCACGGTGAAATAAGAATTGCTGTGTTTGCGCTTGCGCTTTTGCTCCCTATCCGAGAGAAATTGACCAATAAAACAATTTTATTAATATTATTTCTGTCCTTTTCGCTCGCACAGGGAAGCATACACAATAGTTTAGTTAATCAGCCAATTGTAAGCCGTGGGACGCAAAGAACTAAGCAAACATGTCACCGTTTTTGTCAGTTGTAATAGATTAAGATTGAAACTAGAGAAAAAAAAATTGTACCTTACGGTTGTTTCTGTCTGCCGTGCGTTTAAGCCTACCGATTCTTGATTAGCTGTATTGCTATTTCTGTGTTTTTCTTCCCTTCATATATATCCACACTCGATGCTTACCAAAGGGACCCTCCAAGAGTTTTTTTTTTAAATTAGCGTGTTCAGTACTATACCTTGAGCCAGGCTGTTCAAAACTCGATTGGGCTAACCCTGGATTAGCGGGAAGTTTGATTTTAGCTTTTTAATTTTTCGGTAAAGTTTTCTGTTTTATTGTTTGTCCTTCAGTTTTGAATTTCAATAAAACTGCACGAAACATATAAGAACATGAGCAGTGAAAAACATTCAGAAGGTTTCAAGTTATTTTGTTTTTGGAGTACATATATCTTCCTTTTATAGCCATTTTGTATTGTTGACAGCTACCAGACTCTTTTGTTTCTTGAACAATGGTTTGAAAGTATTAACAGCTCCCTGCCTCGACGGTCAAAATCTTTGTTATAGACGCGAGTCACTGGATCCGCTCTACCGGGAGTGGGATAAGCCAGTTTTATCGAGCGTCACATGCAAAACATCGCTGCTTGGAAAATTTAGAATTTATACATTTTTACAGCAAAAGGTTCTGATTGTTGTTGGTGTTGAGCCGCTTCTCAATGTCGTCTTTGTTGAAGTTCTCACCTCGATCACTGTAAAATTATCAATGTCGAATAAAGGATTTTTAAATGCCTGTTGAATTGAACAAGGACCGTCAATATTCCAACTCCTCAGGTCTATTTTCCCCTGAAATTGCGAATATTAAACTTCTGGAAATACATTCTGTTATTTTCGTGAGGTTAGGCTCGGTAAGTACCCTCAAAAATAAAAAGGTAAGTAAATAACAGAATGCGATTGTATAGCCTCAAGGAAATTGAATTAAATTTTAAATGCTTGTTAGGGGAGTCCATTCGGATGTTGTCATTGCAGTGTGATGTATATTGTATTCACGTGGAACTGTGGAATATTTCTGGATCTGACAAATTTCATTCCGACTCATGCTTCAAAAAATAGGATCTTGGACGGGTTTAGTAAATATACACGCCGGAGATGTAGCCAGATGTAAGCTGTGTCAAGAATACCACTGACAGTTTCAACTGAACGTTAATGTTCGTTGACATAATATAACTAGTCATGTTTATGTAAAGTTATCAGTGGTAGGAAAGTATCCAAGACAAAAGCTAAGACAAACACACAAGCAAGAGTAACGAAGTATTTTTTCTACCTCTTGGACGATTTGTTGAACTGCAATTTATACCACAGTACATTCCTAGTTATTCAAGGCCAATTTGATCCCTTATGAGTGCATCTCAGTACTGAGACCATGACTCAAGACTTGCCAAGTTTTGAAAACGCTAGCCAGCCCGAAGGAAATTCAAGCACGGAAAGCTACCAGCTGTTGGTTTGTGTTTCAGCACCGTTAGCCATCTTTGGCTTTGTTTTCTATGCTGTTATTTTCTGTTTGGGAGTCTTTGGAAATGTTTTCGTTATTTGCACAGTTTTCAGAGAAACCAAACTTCACACGCCTTTCAACTATTTAGTGATTAACCTCGCCGTTTCTGACTTGTGCGTTTTTTTCGTTTCGATTCCCATTGTGGTGTTTAGCGAGTGTTTTTCATGGCCGCTAGGCGAGTTAGCTTGTCGTTTTTCTCGTCCGCTATTTCTTGTTTTTACTGGTGTGTCTGTTTGTACCATGATAACACTAAGCTATGAAAGATACAGAGCTGTGGTGAGACCATTAGCACCGAAACTAACGCGTAAAATTGCAGTGCAGATCATTGGGCTGATATGGATTTTATCTTACCCAATTTTTGGTCTCCCGAGATTCTTCATGTTTGGATTAACAACCGAAAAAGGAATTCTACAATGTGACCCAGTTGGAAAAAATTTTGTTCATCACATGGCGGCGAACACCTGGCGTATCATCTGCGTTTTAATCGTGCCCAGTGTTGTTGTGTCCTGGGCGTATGTTCGCGTAATGCGCCAACTCAAACAGGATCTTGCTGTCATTGGAGACACTTTCGCTTCACAAGACATGACTAGGTCCCGTGCTCAGAGAAACGTGAAAACAATGCGCCTTCTTATCACAATTATTCTTGTCTTTGTCGCTTGCTTCTTGCCGTTCAACATGGTTACATCCCTTAACGCTCTTTCTTCCTATGAACAATGGCAATACAATGAAACGGTCGAGAGTATGTCCCGGATGTCACAAGTGGCTCACAGCTGCTTCAATCCCATCATCCTCTGCCTGTTGAGCGCCGATTTTCGCAAAGCTTGGAAGAAATTGTGCGCATTTGGTGTGAAAGGAGTAAAAGGAAGGAGTAAAGTTTACGTTTTGCCAGAAATCCAACAAACCGACAGCTCTATCCCGCTAGTTCTGTTGATACAAGTTTGTAAGATAAGTGTTTGACATTATTGAGAAAAAAGGAAGGTTTTCAAATTAGCGTCGTGAAGCTAATCAATCTGGCCAAACACAAATTACACAGATGATCTGCTGAATCAATCAAACTTCAAAACAAGTTCATGATTTCCCCCAAGAGTGTGGCAAAAGTGGAGTACCAATCACGCATCACGCTGAATTTTTCTATTAAATCACGCATCACGGAGAACGTTTTTCGCCAACAACGCGTCACGTAAAAAGTAGTAAGTACATCGCCAATTTTACTTTCTCGACCCTAAAAGCGTCGTTAAAAGAAGACCTGTACTTTGCGCATTCAACCACAAAAACGCATCGGCAAATATGTGACCTCTCACGCGAAAACGTTTCTTACGGTATCCGCTTGTTCGAACGGCTGAACGCACGGCAAGTGAACTAGACTGCGAACAGGCTCCCAGCGAGGGCGGAAAAAAATCTGGCGGGGGCGGGAAAAAAATCCGGCGAGCGAAGCGACCCGTTAAGCGCGTGTACAGGTAACCTGGCTACAGAGGTCGTGATAAGTACGCTTTCGTGTAGGTGTATGTTTTGTTTTTGTTTTTGTTTTGTGTTTGCAAAATTTCACTTTTCCTGTAGTTTCCAGATTCTGTTTAAGAAGTTTTTTAACCTCGCAACGTTATAATAAAAAGTGGAAAAGTGAAAAAAAAAAAGGAATTCCAAGAATTGCGCTTCCCCTCGTCACCATTCCGCTCTCGGCTCTCCCCGCTCGCCCTAAACCACACTTTGCTAGTTCGCACTGAACTCATTAACTCGTTATCATCCGGTTTAATTTTTTTATCTTTTAAGTTCCTTTTTGGTTACTAGTATCCTATGAAGTAGTTTGAAAGAGAATTGTCTTAATTTATTGTCTGCCGACATTTTTGAGATGTTCTTAAATAAGTTATTCCATTTGTTGGCAAGGGGGGGGGGGGGTAATGTTTGGACCATGATTGAACTGATGTTGGTTGTGTTTCCCATTTCACTTGGAAGAGTGAGTAATAATCCTTGCACCGCATTTTAGACAAA